TAATGGTTTACTATAAATGCCAGAAGCGTCTATTTTGACGGTACTGGTATATATAATAAATATTATTATATATAGATAAATATCCCCGCTATAAGCGGGGAGCACAGACTTTTGCATAACGCATAAACCATATACATAAAGAATTTGATTGGTCCATTGACTCATGCATAAGAAAATGGGCCAATGAAATTCCTTATGCACATGCTTTATGCGTTATGCAAAAGTGTGTATTTCTCGCCTTAGAGAATGGACTGCGCGATCCGTGTGTCAAAATGATTGATAGGGATGAGAGAGAGGGACCGTGGAAGACGGCCATCTCCCTCTCATTCTCTCTTCCATTACACCATCGAATGGAAAAATTTCTTTTCAAATAGAAGTCACGATCTATGCGAGGATTCAGAACGTCAACAGAGTTTGACAGAGCAGAAATTGTGTTTAGAAGTAGTTGCGCCGTCTTGAAATAGATGGCGTTGTAGAGCATCGGCAAAAATAGGTATTGTACGTGATCCTACTTTGCCAGAAAAAGTGAATTTTTTAATTTTTTTCCGATTTCCTCGTGAAATCAGGTTTTGCTATATACCTTTTCGTGCGTACTTTTATTCTGTGAAAGGATTTTGCAATCCGTAAAACCAATTCGAATATTTCTCCTTAAATAGAATCGTGATAAAACAGACGACTTTAGTATCCTCTTAAGATGCCCTTAGCACAAATGTCGATATGTCGACTACAAGTCAAATTTAAAATTGACCAGATATACATGAATAGAATGAAACAGTGCATGCACGATGCATATGTGCTCACCACTGATTCTGAATTACGCATATTTAAGGCAGTAAATTCCGTTTATCAATATAGTTATACATGTTTAGTAGTCGTTGTCCAGGGGGTCAATCATGTATTTTTACGTGAAACTTTTCACATTTTATTTTTCACTTTTCGCTTTTCATTTTTCACTCATCGAGATTTCACGTGAAACTTGTGACGTATAGCGATTACATATGCGATATTAACCTATAATAACACAAAGAAAAATAATAATATGAACGTGACTATAAAACAAAAAGAAATGTTATTAATTTATTTAAAACGTAATCCCGAATTAGTGAGAGGTAGAATAGACAGAAAAAACGAGAGTCGATTAAAATTGGTAAATTTAAAGTATTTTATTATATAATGTATTTATAGTAAATTGCTAA